AACGTGGAAAGAAGCCATAAAGCTTAAAAATGACTTAGTAGTCACTTTGGCAAATGACTAAAATATGATAACCAAGTCATACTTAAGACTTGATAAGATTTATAAATCTTATCTATAGCATTTAATAGGAAGTTTTGTAAAGACTTCAAAGGAACCACAATCTGCCTTGGCATTTAAAGCCAAGAATGTTGAAAAGTAGAAACATTTCATTTTCAACAACTCAAGCTTCATTTGAAACAATTCTGTCCAAACAATTCAACCCCTAGATAAACAAATTTCGATAGAGCCACCACAATTTCGTTCAATTTCAAAGGATTCAGTCAGAATTTCGTTCATATTTCACGGAGGCAGAAGCTTCATTCCGTTCAAATAATTCCAGGAACAGGTATGTTAAGGCTAAACTTTTCCTTTATTTTAGCATGATATCGTAATTACACAAGTTTGATAACGAGGCATAAAGAAAAATTCGTATCCCGGAATTTGTATATATTTTTCTAGTCTCGCAAATTACATATATTTTTCTAGTTTTGTAAGTTATCATATTCTTCTTATCGGGACTGCATATTCAGTTGAGTATTTCCTTCTTCCGATCAAAAGAGCAGAGAGCTTACATATATACAGTATATTAAAAGTACTTTCATTACCATCGAGCTATAATCGATGGGCAGACCTCTATTGGGCAACCTCTGATCAGATGGTAAGTTATATACCGAGCCTAATGTGACCGAGCGCCTATGAGCGAGCCCAGTTGATCGAGATACAAAGCCTAGTATGGCCGAGTGCTTATGAGCGAGCCTACTACGGCAAAGTAGATATATATGTATACCGAGCTATTTTACTCACTATATTGAGAGAGTTGAGTCAATATCAGCTGATGAGCATATCTTCAAATTATCTTTGATCCCCAGTTGCTTTCAGATATTATATCATCAGTTCTATTTCAAGCTTTCAGTATATTGCCTTACATACTCGGTACATTATTTCGTACCGGCGTCCCTTTCTGGAGGCGTTGCATTTCATACGTGCAGGTTCAGACAGACAGACGGGTAGACCTCCAAAGTAGGTGTTGCCCGAGTTCAGCTTTATCAGTAAGCTCCCCTTCTTTCGGAGTTGGCGGGTCTAGCAGTGTGGTGTATATCTTGTGTATATATGTAGATAGGTTATGGGTAGGTCAGGGCCCTGTTCTGATCACAGTACATCTATAAGTAGAGGATTGTAGACATATCATGTGGGTTAGTGCAGAATGTTGGGCTTGTAGGCCCTGTACGTATATTTTGTTGGCCTGTTAGTTGTAGTAATTATGACGGCCTTGCCGGCCCAACTTTATGTTGACATTAGTCAGTGTTAGTCTCCATTTAATTTTATATTTTGCATCACACATTATCTTGTAATGTGACTCATAGCCAAAGTATGACATTACATGTTCAGAGTCTCTTAGTCGCAAGTGGTACGCAAGGATAGATGAGGCACTAGGGCCCGTTTTCGCCCCCGGGCTAGGGGCGTGACAGGATCGGTGCTAAAATATTCAAAACGACCGACCGAGTCGTTATAGAAATTATTTCAAAGAAGAATAGGAAAATGAGAATAAATATACGACACAAATAAAATAAATAAATAAAGAAGAAAAGAATGGTAAAAACAAAAAAGGAAAAGAAAAAAAAGTTAAATTAATAAATGATAATTTGGAATATATTAATTTATAATAAGGATATTTTTGTGTTAAAAATTAGTTTTCTGCTTCTCCTTCTAGTTATGGGAAGAAGCTAGAATTTGTAACTTCTTCCCAAAAGCATAAATACTTCTTTTGCTGCTACTCAAAAGACTCTGCCGGCCAAACACAATAAATTTTCAAAAAGTTTTTTTTGACAAAAAATAAAATAAAATCTTTTGACCTCCCAAATATTTAGTCAAACAAACTCTTACAAATTTGGCCAAACATATTATCAGCCTTATCATCTAGTTTTATTTAGCATATATATGATTGACAAATGGTTCTCTTCTCTTTTATGTGGCACTAACTAATCCATCGTCCCAAAAGCCAGTATTGTATATACCTTTTTAAGCACAAATTTTATCTACCAAAGATACCATATTTGTTTACCAAAGCTAAAGTTAACACCCAAAAGAGCGATATTGGATTAAGAAAGTTGAAACATTTTCGCTCAAGCTACATGTTTAGATAAAGTTAACATTTTCGCTCAAGCTACATGTTTAGATAAGGTACTATATACTTTTAATATAAACTACTTCTGTCAAAGACGCCTCTAAGGTTTTAATTTTATAGATTCAAAAATCGAGTTTGACCACTAAACTCATCATCTTGTTTGAGTTCCGAATTCATAATTTAATATTTACAAATAATTCTAGTAAGTTTTACATAGATATTTACCAAAAAAAAAAGTTTTACATAGATAAATCCAAATTTAGGCTAAATGTAATCGGTTCAAATGAACCCATATTTATACTACTGGATCCGCCCCGACTTATTTTAGCTCCAACATTGACAAGCGCAACTAATAGACATTTTATAAGAAAAATTGGCTTATCCAATTAATATCCCTATATACTGGATTTTGGCAAAGTTCTGCTCAACAAGACTGTAACATGAAACTTATCCAGGGCTAGAAGAATCAGATTCCTGAAAAGACACCAATCGATATAGCATCTAATCTTTAACCGCTGCTGCAGTGTCAAAGAAAAAAGGAAGTATATACATATAAATATTAGAACTGTGGATGAAAAGCGTTAGATTTACTTCTTTACTTTCAAAAATTATTTATATTTAACATCCGTTATTCTATGAGAACAAATTTATCAAATGGAAACCCCTGGTCCATCAAATCAATATTTTATTTATTTTTTATATTTATCAGAATATCAAAGAAATAAGCAAACTCTGTAAATTTGAGTCTTTTCTTTGCTTAAATTCCAAATCAGCATTTTTACATTTATTCTAATTCCGTGGTTGAAGAAATTTTAAACTACTAAACATTAAATTGGACTCCAATTTAATAGATTTACTTAGTTCTTTGATTTTATGATAAATTAAATATAGAAAATAAATAAAAGATTGATTTGGTGGATTAGGTGTTTCCACTAGGGTTAGGGGCAAAAACTGAAACTTTGCTAACGGTAGAGGTATATCTGTTCACATAGTATATGAATAATTTTTGAAAGTAAAAGGACTAATCTGACCCTTTTTCCATAAAAAATCGCCACATTGCACTAGCTNCCCCACACCCCTCACCCCCCCAAAAAAGTAAAAAGATAACAATTTATTCTGTGTTCAAATGTTCTAAAGGATCTTCATAAAGTTGAACTTGTGGATAAAATATCAAATATAAAAGAATCACGACATATCTTTGGAATAGATAAGATTCTGTTTATGAAACCGTTGATAAAGCAAAAGGTGTCTTCTAGGCAAAATGTTTCAGTATATTGCATGTGTTTTTTCTTAAATATTTGGAATAGGCTAAGAACCATTACCAGAATCAGATCGTTGATATGGCAAGCAAAAATCTTTTTCTTGGAAATAAATTTCAATATTTTTGTTTACTTTGAATTCTAAAAAATATTATGGTTTTAAGGAAAATATTTTCCTGCAAAAAATGATTTCTCTCGCACGTATGGATGGAAGTCAATTTCATTTACAAATATTTCAAGGCTTCTCTATAAAAACTAATTACATAGATATTATTATAAGTGATAAATCTTTAGTACCTAGAAAATATTGACTATATATCACTCAAACACTAAAAAATATCATAAAATAATTTCTCAATTAGGCAAAAACATAACGGAGAAGATGAAAATGTTGAGTTCGTGAAATTATCATCCGTTTGATTATTTGCATAGATGGCTATATATATAATCATTCAATCATACCACAACAAAAGATTCTCATTAATTGATGTCATAAAAGGTGACTATCAGCAGCTTGCGTCAACAACCTAGAGAAAAATGAAAATATGCTTCTTTTCACCTTTCGTAGGATTCTCTTTCTTATCACCGATTTGCAATACATTATACGAGAGACGAATGATATAATTCGCCCTTATGTAATCGTAGCACAAAAAAACAAAAAAAATAAAACATAAGACTTATATTTCTGTTTACCTCGAAAGATGTGAGTAACAATTAAAGATATTTTGTGGTTTTAAAGATACGTGATATATTCTAATACTAGCGATTATACAAGTAATATTGAGCTTAAGTAAGAAGAAATAATGAACCAAATCAGTGTTGTTGGAACAATAGTGGGCCTCGAGCTCGACAATTCAGGGACCTCGAGGTCAACTAAGAGTAATAAAGTATGAACAATAAAGTAAAGACAATAAAGCTGAAGAATAATTGGAGAGCACGCTAAACAAGAGAAGAATAAAAATGTTCTATTGTAGTGAATGGTCTGATGCCTTACCAAAATGATTGGGGTCTCCTTTATATAGGAGGAGAAAACCCCTAAGTAGTACCTTGCTCACAAAGGTAAAGAATTCTATTGGTACAGGTGTATAACGGCCTAGTACGAACCTGTACCACTTCGTACAACCCTTATCCTATAATTAATGTCCAGATCCACGTGTCCTTGAGAAATTCCCGCTCTTTCTTGATTGATTTCGAGATAATGCTACCCCTTGATGCAGTCCGTGCCAGGCACTCGATCAGCTTTCCTGAGGTAGATGTCTCTTAGTCGGATACGACACCCATTTCGAGTCTCGGACTTGGGCCTATGGCCCGATTTAAACCTTCAAAATCATACTCCTCGATTTTGACCATATACAGATAGTCCCCGCATTTCTTAGAATAGAATGATATGAAACGTTTGACCTTGATTTTCTCGAACCTCTCATGATGATGTCATGCTCGTGGCGTAGGCATTCGAAGTGATCGAAACGTCCCGTCGGTTCATTCCCCAGAAGCACTGAATGTACCGCTGGTCCATTTTCCCAAAAGCATTGAATGCCCGTTAGTTTCGTCATTGTTTTTCTATAAATAAGGGGTTACTTAAACAAAAACTACACTCATTCTTTCTTCAACAACTTTTAGCACTTTCCCTTCTCTATATCCTCTTCTAATCACCTATTTTCATGGTTCAAACCAGTGACCACAAGGTCATATGGAAGCAACTTTATTAGTTATGTCATGGCTCTTTTTCAAAGCTTTTTCCCATTAAGTGAGATTATAATGAGTTGTTGTTATTGTTGTTGTTGTTGTTGTTGTTGTTGTTGTTGTTGTTGTTGTTGTTGTTGTTGTTGTTGGCTCGGAACAATGAGAGAAGGGAACCAAATTCTTCCCGTATCAGAAGATATGTGGGCTTTACACTGCTGCTCATCTCTCTTAACTTCAACCTGGTATGACGCTTCATTCCTTTTGCTTTCCATGGAATGAAGTGGCACTATCATCTACTAACTTTTGCATCCCACACCGGTACAATGTCTCAAGAAGTGGCTTCACAATAGTTGTGCTAACAAGACCCATACTCGCCAAGTTTTTCACCAGGCCACTATTGTCACACTCCATTTTTAACCAAAACTTCACTAACCCTCTTAAATTAATAAAAAGATTTGTAAAGCTTGAAATAGGTTTTCCAATTAGAACGTGACAAAAATTGTGTTCAAAAGGAAATAACTCAGAGTCGCCACTTGAAATTTGATTTCGGTGTGTCAGGTCACCGTTTTTTTTAAAATGATTTTGCTTTTGAAACACTTTAGACTCCAAAACTAAGTCTGCACCAGAGATTTGGGTAAGGGGTTCATTTGACTCGGGGAGAAGGTGTTAGGCACTCCCCAAGTCCCGTAACTAGTACGGTTGCATACTTGATCTAGTCGGTTTTATAGGATATTCTAATTGAGGCAAAAATACACAAAACGAAATAAACACACAAGAGGCTCGAGGTCGTCCCCACCTAATAAAAGAAAATAGAAAAGAAAATTAAAATAAAGTCCAAAACACTAATATATACTATACTTTTCCCCAAGGTTCGTCATGACCTCCAAATACATGATACTACGGGTCATACCCCAGATAAAAATATATACAAATCCTTTGGGGCATTACCCAGATAAATTTAATTAAGGAAATGACCTCTTACCTCAAAATTAAACAAACAAAATCCTCGAGTTTGCCTACCCGAATATTAACGGCCTAAACATGCTCCTAACGATTAAAAGCAACAAAGCAAGAAAAAGAACTAAGAAAATTGATCCAAGCTCAAATTTTATAATTCCCCTCCCAGTCGGTCCAGTAAGCCTTTACAAAGTCCATGCTTGTATTAAACCAACCCCTTGACAAAATTCAATTTTTTTCATTTTATCAAATTGTGACTTATTTGCCTTAATATTCTTGATGCACTTCAAGTTTAACCCAATTAATTCAAACTAGTCCAATACGAAATTAACAGTAATGCAAAAGACTACAGTGAATCAAGGAAGCAAATTAAAACACAAAACAGGACATGAAACTTTCCAAAACCATAAACAAAATAATGAAAAGATCAAAGCACATATGAGATAAGAGAAAATTGAACCTCATCAAAGATTTCTTCGTATTAAACGTGACTTTAGTCACAGCAAATCCCGAAAAACCAAATCTGACCCAAAAGTGCAACAGTAGTAGCAGCTCGGACCGCGAATCTCTTTGACAGACCTTTTCAACTCAAACTCAGGACCGACCAGATCGAGTTTCGTCCTCTGTGTGTTTTTGGTGTTGCTGGCTTTGTGTTTTGGAGCTGGGGTGAGTCGGAACCTTGGTGGTGTTGTTGGTGAGGATGGTTGCTTCTTTTTGTAAAGGAGAAGAAGGTGGAAACGGCTATGACTTAGAGGTTAAGCTGAAGGAATTGTCGCTGCTCTTCGTCTAGATTAGGCCCTAGGTTTTTCTTTTTCTTTTTTTATCTATAAAATCTTATTCAGAGAGAGGGCAGTCCTTGGGTGTTGAGGTCGGGTGCAGCTGTTTTATGTATGTTTTCTGGCGTGAGAGAGACGGGTGAGTGTAGTGTGAGTGAAGCTGCGACAGGTGAGGAGATGGCTGAAGGGGTGGTCGTTTGGAGGAGTTCACTGGCGGCAAGAATGGTGGAGTTGGTCGGCGGCTGTGTGTTTTGAGTGAAGTTTAGATGTTTTTAGATCTTCAATGTTTTCCCAGGTTGAAGAAGATGAGGGGTTCTTGTGTAGGGTTTTTAATTTTATTCCAAAAAGGAAATCTGATGGGGAATTGGGCATGGGTAAGGTGTTTGGGCTTCAAATTTTGGGCTTTAACATTGGGCTAAAACAAATGTTCAAATCTTAGTTAAATCCCTCTTAATATAAGACAAATATACTACATAATGCAAAAAATTGATCTAATTAATTAAACTAAATTATATATATAATATGAAACAATTTTTTTTGTATTTTTCAAATGTTATATTAAAATAAAATAGGTTCAAAATAATATATCCTTCTAAAAATATCTAATAGTACTTGAATTAAATAGAAAAATATGGAACTATTTTTGTAAGTTTCAATTTTGTGATAAAAAAAATGTAAAAGAGTCAAAATTAGTTAAAATAACTATATTAGGCCTAAACTAAGTATTTAAGTGCTAAAATATGTAAAATCTTGGGGAGGGTCAAAAATCACGTGTCTACAGCTGCCCCTCTTTGACTGGAAATACGAAGTATTTTCGGATAAAGAACGACTAGACTGGTTTTTTTGACCCGACCCTTATATTTAAGGAGACCAAAAACTATAAAGAACGAGATGTGGCCGAGCCCTGGTATCTGAGCTGCCTACATATCCTTGGTTATAAAGGAATCAGGCCACGTGTAGTTCAGAGGTGAGTGAGATGACGGAGTATACTGAGGTGGAGAGCCGGTCGAGGTGTCGTCGAGGTTCCAGTCCGTGAAACCTGCGATTACATCGAAAATAAAAGAAAAAATTACAGCAGAAGTAATAGAAAAATACAAGATCCTATCTACTTCTTGTCTTGAATCTTCCTTGAATCTCTACTTGATCTTCAATATGAAACTGAAAAATGGACCCTGTTCTTCAGGCAGACTCCTGATGCTTCTTAAATTTGCGAATTGAAGTAACTCTGAAATGAATTCCCTTATTCTCCAGGTGGGCGCCTGTGAATAGCTTGACTTTGATATTGATTCTAAAATGAGTTCCCTCGTTCTCCAGGTGAGTGCCTGCCAATGACTTGAACTCAAAATAAATTCCCTCATTCTCCAGGTGGGCGCCTACCAATGAATTCACTTGAAATGAATTCCCTCGTTATCCAGGTGGGCTCCTGATTGCCAAAAACTTGAACTGTATTCCTTCGTTAATCAGGTGGGTGCCTGATTACCAAAAACTTGAATTGTATTCCCTCGTTATCCAGGTGGACGCCTGATTACCAAAAACTTGAATTGTATTCCCTCGTTATCCAGGTGGACGCCTGATTACCAAAACTTGAATTGTATTCCCTCGTTATCTAGTGGGCGCTTGATTGCCAGAAACTTGAATTGTACTCCCTCGTTATCCAGGTGGGTGCCTGATTACCAAAAACTTGAATTGTATTCCCTAGTTATCCAGGTGGG